CCTCAAAGTTTGTATCTGTGTCTCGATGCATCACTATTGTGTAAACTGTGGAGGGTGCCTCATGAAAGCTGGGATGTCTTCTGCAGTTCTTTCTAATCAGTTGCTTTTACTTATTCTTCGTTGAAGAGCTAGTTGTGGTTAGATCATAGGTGATATCCATCTCTAGTAACTAGTTTTATTACATCATTTTCCTCATGTTTCTCAAAATATTTTCTTGTTGAATTGTAAGGTGTGAGCTAGGTTTTTGTACATTTTTGTGCTACAGATATGTGATTATACTTTTAATATAGGAAGCAAATAGGTCACTTGCTGGAGAAAAAGGTTATGTTCATCTCAAAAACTTGCAGAAGTTGCTGAGAGTGAGGCAACAATATATGGTGGCACAAGTTTCACTGCTATATCCTGTGAAGGTTGTGATAGACCATGCACAGGAGCACGAACTTGAATCATTTACCAGAAGTTGTAGATCAGGTAATTTGCTGAATAATGGGAAGTTTGTGGTCAAGTTTGCTATTATTAGGTTATGCTTTCAGGCTCATAATTCTCTGTATAAGCTTGTTATCTTGTTCTGACAGTATTTGTGTAGAGCATCAACCATCTTTTTATTGCGATCACAAATAATTTAGAGTTTTGTTGTGTTTTCGTTTAAGGAATTTATGATCTAGATACGTTTCATATTCGTTGTTGACCAAATGCATATCCTAATGTAATAGGAATGATATAATTACTGGTTATTTTGTTTTGTAGGTTAAATCAATATTTTGATATTAAGAGCCGTCCCTTCTTTTTTTTTTTTCCTTTTGCAGTTGCAGGGAATTCTGATGGGTCAAAACATTTTGATCAAGGATCCTTGACTATTTCAGGTCTGCATCTGACTGTGCTCCCTTTTGCAAAGACGAGTTTTTTCACTGATAAGAAGGAAGTTCAGAGATCTGCAGCTGCACTGGGATATGTCGCACATGTGGGTTCTTTCTCTTTGCTTGACATAAAATTATCCACTATCAAAGAGCATCTGACATCTTTTGTTTTACAACTAATGCGTCTTGAGGTCCTTTTGCTTTTCATATTTAATTTCAAATGACATGATTTGATGATAGTTATTTGCACCAAATGAAAGTAGCATATGCTGTGTTATTGCTTTCTGGTGCGGATTAGGGACCAGACACTGTACTGCCTTAGATTGCTAATAGCTATACAGTCTGGTTCTCACAGGCCGTTTCACTTATTGCTTCCGACTTGGGAATTCCTTTGCGTTATCCTTTAAGAGTAGGAGGTTCTCGATCATATATTCGTGACCATGCACCTTCAATTGAACCTGCATCATCTGATTTGGCATCCATATCATCAGTTTCCATGAGTATGAAGCGGATAGAATTTCCTCTCTTTCTACAAGGGCAAGACTCGATGCGAGCTGCCTATGCTGTATTCTTGCTAAACAAGGTGTGCTTTCTTTTTAATTGTCCTGTGGGTCCAGTTGTACTATTTTATCTGCGAATAGAATTAATAAGTTTGGAGTAGTGACATTTTTTCCAGTAGAATTTAATCATATGCTAATTTAACCATGATTCCTTTTTTCTTTTTTTAAATTAGTGTTTGTGGATCAGTTTTTTTTTGGCATTTAAAAAAGGGGATTCAATAAGGTCGTGAGTGTCGCGGAAGGAATTCCATACATCATGCAGGTTAGGAGAGAGGGTGGAGACATGACCCACCTCTGTCAGGGATTTTATTAAATGTCCATCATTTTATGCAGTATTTTCAAGTACTTCTTGTATTTACTACCAGCTTAGGGTTTCCCCTACTTGGATGGCCCTACTCATATTTCTCTCTATACGGTACATGTGTTTTTCTCTTACCTGTCCTTGCCCCCCCCCCTCCCTCCATCTCTCTTTGCCAAGATGTTGGAAAATGCTTAGAACTGGTTGTCTCCAAGGCTGCTTTGTCAGTCTTGTATCTCTTTTTCACCATAAACTGCCTGACTAGAAAATGGTTTTGGATTATGAAATTAAATCCACTCTGTTGTTTTTCCATTACCAAATGAAATCAGGTGTATGTTATTCAAGTTTATTTTAACTTACTCATTGAGGTTATAAATCTTAGTCATTTCAAATCCATCTGAATAGAAGAAATGTGTTTCAATTAATCATTAGTGATAGAGGAAAATTCTCTTAACTTTTAAGTGACATTTCTGGGTTTTTGTTGATGTTTCAGAGCGCAACGTGAAATTCACTGAGCACTTCCATCATGATGTTATATACCTTGTTGAATTGTTTCTTAACTTCCATCTTTTTCCTCGCATGATTTTAGGATCTAGAGCAGCTTTTGAATTTCGTTGGCGTTAACAGTTTAGGGCCGCGGCATGTACTGGCTAATTTGAAGGAGCTCCTAAGGACCATTCTCTCTCGAGAATACATCGATACATGATCTGCACTTCCAATGGTAGTTGTAAGCTTTGTAATTGGATAATTTAAATCCTTATACAGGTGCCGATTTTTCTTGGAGCACCTTACTATAAACCCTGCCAATTGTATACAGCAACTCAAATTATGCTTAATAGAAATTTCATCTGGGTGTTGTTTTGTTCTGCTTTAAATTCTATTCACAGTGTTGTAAGCCTAATTTTTGATAGTTGGATACATCATGCATGTCTGAGAAGATGAATGATGAGTAATATTCTAAATGTGAGGGATTTAAATGATTAAGTGACAAGTATGCGAGGATTTAGGTGTAATTTATTTATTTAGTTTTAGACAATAAAATGACGGTTTTTAGTTTCAAATGTCCATTGATACAATTTTATATCTTTGAGGTATAAATTGAGATTTTTTATCTGTGAGGGTGGAAATTGAGATTCGAACAGTCTTTCAGGGTGTAATTTGAGATTAATCCATAATAATATACATACGTTGGATTATAATACTATTTGTCTTGGTAGTATTAAATTTTTTTTATTATACATGTCTCTATTATAAACAATATACGATTATTATATATTTTTAAAATTAATACGAAATTAAATTTATTTATTAAAAAAATATTAGATCCAATTAAATTAATAATAGTACAATATAATATGTAATTTACTCATACCAAACGAGCTCTATGCATATTAAAAAATAAAAATAGTTCCGCGTAGTGTAGTACGATGTCGTTTCAGAGCCAAGATATCTCGACTAATCCTCTCATTGATCATAAATTTTTTATAGTCTGATCTAAAGGAATTACGAAAATTCGAATTCAAAATATCTGAATTTACAGATTGTCGATGTTACCACTTGAGTTTAGAACCAAGATTTTGTATAGTAATAATAAATTTTATATTTTTTTGTGGATAAGTTTACGGTAAAAAAAAAAAAAGGGATATTGCATGGTAATAATAAATTTTATAATTTCTTTTATAAATTTATAAGGTTATTTATAATTTTTATAATAATATTAGAATTGATTAGAAATTATCACAAAGTGATAACTTCATTAAAAAAATTTATAACTAAAACTTTAAAAGTTATAATATAATCTATAAAAATAATAATTTTTATTATAAATAAACAAAAAAAAAATGAATCAAAAACTCATAAAAATTATAAAGAGTAATGCTANCTAAACAAAAAAAATGAATCAAAAACTCATAAAAATTATAAAGAGTAATGCTAGAAATCCCAAATTATATTCTAAATTAATATAGACGTTTGAATCAATAAGTTCGTTAATTTTTTTTTGAATAAAACTCACTCATCTAGGCTTCTTACTCATTTGGAATCCAAATTAGAGATGAAAAGTATTAACCAATTAAAAATCTTAAAAGTATGGAACGAAATATTTTTCGAGTTTTTTTATTAATGTACAACTATTTTGAAATAATATTATCAATTTATTATAATTTTGAACTTATTTATTAATGTACAGTATTTTTTAAAAACAGATTCAAAAACCTTNCGGAACGAAATATTTTTCAAGTTTTTTATTAATGTACAACTATTTTGAAATAATATTATCAATTTATTATAATTTTGAACTTATTTATTAATTTACAGTATTTTTTAAAAACAGATTCAAAAACCTTGATTTTAACAATAATCAATAACCCCCTTTTTTTATGTTAAAAAAATAAAATTAAAAAGCGTANTTGGCGTTAACAGTTTAGGGCCGCGGCATGTACTGGCTAATTTGAAGGAGCTCCTGAGGACCATTCTCTCTCGAGAATACATCGATACATGATCTGCACTTCCAATGGTAGTTGTAAGCTTTGTAAATGGATAATTTAAATCCTTATACAGGTGCCGATTTTTCTTGGAGCACCTTACCATAAACCCTGCCAATTGTATACAGCAACTCAAATTATGCTTAATAGAAATTTCATCTGGGTGTTGTTTTGTTCTGCTTTAAATTCTATTCACGGTGTTGTAAGCCTAATTTTTGATAGTTGGATACATCATGCATGTCTGAGAAGATGAATGATGAGTAATATTCTAAATGTGGGGTTCAAATGATTAAGTCACAAGTATGAGAGAATTTAGGTGTAATTTATTCATTTAGTTTTAGACAATAAAATGACGGGTTTTAGTTTCAGATGTCCATTGATACAATTTTATATCTTTGAGGTATAAATTGAGATTTTTTATCTGTGAAGGTGAAAATTGAGATTCGAACAGTCTTTCAGGGTGTAATTTGAGATTAACCCATAATAATATACATACGTTGGATTATAATACTATTTGTCTTGGTAGTATTAAATTTTTTTTATTATACATGTCTCTATTATAAAAAATATACGATTATTATATATTTTTAAAATTAATACGGAATCAAATTTATTTATTAAAAAAATATTAGATCCAATTAAATTAATAATAGTACAATATAATATGTAATTTACTCATACCAAACGAGCTCTATGCATATTAAAAAATAAAAATAGTTCCGCGTAGTGCAGTACGATGTTGTTTCAGAGCCAAGATTTCTCGACTAATCCTCTCATTGATCATAAATTTTTTATAGTCTGATCTAAAGGGATTACGAAAATTCGAATTCAAAATATCTGAATTTACAGATTGTCGATGTTACCACTTGAGTTTAGAACCAAGATTTTGTATAGTAATAATAAATTTTATATTTTTTTGTGGATAAGTTTACGGTAAAAAAAAAAAAAGGGATATTGCATGGTAATAATAAATTTTATAATTTCTTTTATAAATTTATAAGGTTATTTATAATTTTTATAATAATATTAGAATTGATTAGAAATTATCACAAAGTGATAACTTCATTAAAAAAATTTATAACTAAAACTTTAAAAGTTATAATATAATCTATAAAAATAATAATTTTTATTATAAATAAACAAAAAAAAAATGAATCAAAAACTCATAAAAATTATAAAGAGTAATGCTAGAAATCTCAAAATTATATTCTAAATTAATATAGACGTTTGAATCAATAAGTTCGTTAATTTTTTTTTTGAATAAAACTCACTCATCTAGGCTTCTTACTCATTTGGAATCCAAATTAGAGATGAAAAGTATTAACCAATTAAAAATCTTAAAAGTACGGAACGAAATATTTTTCGAGTTTTTTTATTAATGTACAACTATTTTGAAATAATATTATCAATTTATTATAATTTTGAACTTATTTATTAATGTACAGTATTTTTTAAAAACAGATTCAAAAACCTTGATTTCAACAATAATCAATAACCCCCTTTTTTTATGTTAAAAAAATAAAATTAAAAAGCGTAATCAGTGAATACGCTTTCCTTTTACTGACACCACCAATACGGTGCGCATCTTTTCTATTTTCCACGGTCAGATGCAATGGGCCCTTTTTTTTTTATCGTTACAAGTCAATGACATCACTTCTCATTTCATTTCATTAAATTAATTGTATTTTGTCAAAACTATTGGATAATAAAAACAGATATTTTATAAATAATAAATAGATTAAAATAATGACATGAAATCAAAAATAAAATAATAATATATATAATAAAGGAGCTAGTTTTGGTTGTCTTAAGTTTTTCGCGGTTCAGATCATTTGAAAATTATTTATTCTACCATCCTAATTAGATTTTCATTCTTTTTAAAATTCTAATATTTTTATCTTTCATATAACTTTCTCTCTGTCTCACACACTCAACTCTCGTACGTATATAACTCTTTCTATTTCATATACATTTTAAACATACATTCTCTTATCTCTCATACTCTCTTCTCTCTCTCTCTCTATATATATATATAGAGAGAGAGAGAAAGAGAGAGATATAATGATAGTCTAATTAGGATTCGCGGCTCAAATTATTTGAGGATTATTGATCCTACAATCTTAATTAAATTTTTATTTCTTTTAAAACTCTAAGAATCTCATCTCTCACACACTCTCTCATCTCTCATACTCTCTCTCTCTCTCTGTATATATATCTATATAATAAAGTAGAACGAAGTTTGAATCCAAAAGACAAAGATATGTCCAAATCGTTTTGAGACAAAACATAAACACATCCAACGAAAAACGTAATCCTAAAATAAAAGACGGTTCAGATTGATTCAATATTATTGATTCGACGATCTTAATTAATCTACATTTCTAACAATACTCAACTACATTCCTTTTATCTTTCATCATATCCATTCAAAACATTGGAGAGATTGATTAAGACTCTACTACATTCCTTTTATCTTTCATCATCCCCTTTTAAACTATTAGAGAGTTTGACTTAGATAGTTGTATATCTATATATATTTATCTACACTAACAATATAGAGGTAATTTTAAAATTTTAAAATTAATATTAATACTCTTAATTTAAAAAAAAAGAGAGAAGAACAACTAAGATTTAATTGAAATTTAAATATACAATTTAAATATCATTAAAATTCATCTAATCTAATCCTATCCAAATATTATATATGTATAAAAAATTGATTAATTATCACCAATGTAAAAAGTGAAACTAATTGACATTTTTATAATTAAAAAAATATCAATTATTCACTAACAATCTATTAAATTTATTCAACAAACGATGTTTTAATCATTATCACTAAAATATTAGTATAATTAAACTATTAAACTAAAATCTAACAGACATAGTAAAAAAATTAAAAATTAATTGGCACATAATAAAGACTATAATCAATACTCGAATAAAAATAAAAGATAATTTTTCGTAGAAAAAATAAAATCAAATGAAGATCAATTGAAAGCACTTTCACTTGCAAAAATTCATAATAAAATGAAGGTGATATGAAAAAAGTCATATTATAATAAAAAAGACTAAATAATTATATATATGTGTGTGTGTGTGTGTGTATAACTTTTAAAATATATAAATATATATATATATATATATCTCATATTTTAAAAAAAAAATTGAGGATGGGCCAGTGTCTACCCTCTCCCCTATGTAGCTCTGTTAAAGTATGTCATCCTATATCTATTTATCTATATCTATGTCTATATGATCCTAATTGAATTTTTATTTCTTTCTATTACACACACTCTCATATAACTCTATCTTCCGAGAATTTGGCTTGGACGACTATATATATATATCTAATAATAACATAATATATTTAATACCCATTAATATCATAATCTCTTTCTATATCATGTTCTCATCTCTCATAAGTTTATTACATCTCTCATATAACTTTCTTTCTATACACCCGTCAACACCCACATGTCAATATTGACTCCTATAAAAAAAAAAAGATATTTATTAGGTATAATGATTAAATATATAAATTGTGTACATGTTGATTTTTTTTAGGAGTCGTGTTTTTAAAGAAATTTTGTCAAATTTTTTTAAAAAATAGTATTTTTAAATTAATTTTGATTTGTGTAATTAAAGAAAATAATAAAAAAATAAAATATTTTTGAAATATTTATATTGCATAACTGATGATCGAGATTTTTTGAATTGCTTAATGCTTTTAGGCACGAGTTATTACTAGTGTGTGTGTGTGTATATATATATATACACACACACCAACCAATTGCACAAAAAAAAAGAAAAATTTTAAAACTAAGTTAATCACCAATAAAAATAACAAGTGATACTAATTTCACTAAAAAAATTAAAAAATTCAAAGTCAAGCTAATTACCAATAAAAAAAAAATTGAAACCAATTGTACAAACAAAAAAAAAAAATTCAAAACCAACTATCAATTTCCCCCCCTATTAATGTGCATATTTTTTTGAATACTTGAATAATGTAAAATAGACACCGAAACGACAAAAATGTCAATTAAATTAATTTTTTTTTAAATTGGTGAAATTTTGATTTTGTTGATTTGCAACGTGAGAATATTTTTGTTGGATCCGAGAAGTCACAACATGAGAGAATTTAAATCAATTGTTATCGCAATAACAAATAGATCTGCTAGACAATGTTAGTTCAATTGAGGTTTTTTTCTATTTTTTGGAAATTTTAATTAGATTTAGTCAAAGGTTAAAAAATTGAACACTCGTTGAACAGAACAACCACCATAAAGAAATATATGACCGGATAATTTTGTAATGATGTTAATTTAATTTCATGGGGATTCTCAAATTGTGTTATTGTGATATGATTCTTCTCTCATTTAAACCCTTACACATATTTTATTTAAAACATTATTGAATGTCCTATTTGCTTGACAATTTTTTTGTATTAAAAATATTTTTAAGTACGAGTAATGACTACTATAAAATAAAGTAATATTTATACATGTAGGACTTGTAAGAAAAGAAAAGCAGCATAAAATATCTACTTAAAAATTTGACCCAGAACATTTAAAAGATTTTATTTTCATAATTAATATTTTAACTCGTGAAAAATATTATTCAATAACCCCAAATTTATTTTGAATCTGTTATGTTGGATGATACAACTATTTTTTTTTTATAAAATTTATAAATCATAAAAATTAAATTCGTTAAATCTTGATCAATTAACAAACTTGATTCAATAATTTGATTAGGACTTAATTTAGAGATCGTTAAATATTGATCAATTAACAAACCTGATTCAATAAATTTATCGGAACATAGTTTTGAGATTGTTAAATATTAATTTATCTATTATTTATAAAATCTATATTTTCATTTTTTAGTAGTCCTAATTATTTTACAAGTGTTTGTTTAAATGATCTTAAATTTCTAATGGAATGGAATGATAAATGATGTAATAGACACGTCGATGAAACGAGTATTGTGAGAAATACAAGCCCTCGAGTCTTGATAAGAAGAATTCAAGTGAAAACTTAATTAGACGAGACTTATTTGTTGTATTTAAGTTCATCTATCATTGCTCTTGTTAATAACAATGTTGATTCACGAGAAGACGTGCAAACGTCGGTGTTTATTACGTTTTAATTTTTTTTAACATTAAAAGTGGGGTTGTTAATCCCGTTTTTATTGTTAAAAGTGAGATCGTGGTAAATCGATAAAATTGTTTCTAAAAAGTTATACATTGCTAAGTAACTCCATAACTCAATATTTTTCTGAACCGGTGGTAGTCTTCTCCATCTGTTTCTTCTGTCATCTAATACCCTTTTTCACAAGAAAATATTCGGTGCTTCACGGTCATTTCATTAGCTGTCAGCCTGTCACCACTGTCTTTCTATTTCTCTCTCTCCTTGTGGACACCAAAGAAGAATCCCAGAGAAACAAGCTCCACACTCTTTTCTGAGTTCTCTCTCTTCCTCTCTCCCTCTCCCTGTGTGCTTTGTAGACCAAAGAAGAAACCCAGAGAATCTCTTGAGGAAAAATGGTTGGAGCTAAGAAAAGGTCAGTGGGGGAAACAAGTGTTGCAAGTGTTGCTCTCACGGTCAAGGGCCAGGTTCATTCTTCTTCTTCTTCTTCTTCATCTACATTTTTTCTCTTGAATCTTTGGCTACCAACTGAATCTACCTTTGCTTCTTTCCTTTTTTCTGGGTCTATTCTGAAGCTTGTTTAGATATCTCTTACAGATATAGACCCACCACTAGCAAACACAGTTTCTTTATTTTAATACCATTTAACACTTTTTAAAGAAATCTATTCCACTTTTTGAGTGGTATACACTAATTTTTAGAGTGCACCCAGTCCTTGAATTTACTTACTATTTTTTATTTTTTTTTATAGAGTTTATAACTTTTTAGGATATAATTTACTACCTTTTTAGAATTGTTTAACTTTTTGATAAGATTCTATACTATAATGTTTCTTTTATCACGTGAAACTATTTTTTGGTATCATACCTTCTATTTTCTATAGCATCACAAGTATAAGGTGTCCTATTTTTTTAATTTCAATTTACTTTATTATTGTTGGAATTTTGAATCCAAAAGTAAAGTAAATTGACATAGAGAAACTTGAATTAGGTCCTTGTTTTAAGACGATTCATGTCCTTCCTTTTGTAGAAAAAGATGCGTTATAGTACGGAATAACGCATCATCCCTGAAATTGACTTTAACTTCACTCAGATCTGCACAATCTATATAATTGAATGTACAACACAACATCTTTCTATTTATTTTGGCACGAGAACTTATTTAGAGAGAAAAGATGAAAAAAAATAGGAGTATATATATTTCTAGCCTGAAACATCAGATTATATACTGTAAAGATAACTGTTAATATACTATATTTATTTCTAAAATAAATGAAAAAAATGATAGTTGAGAAATAATTGTTAGGCCTTTGAAATTCAGAAACTAAACTTTTCATGAGGAAGCTGCTACAAAAAAAAATATTAAAATGAATTAAAAGTGGAGTGATAATACACTACACTACACTACACAATTGCTCTTTATTAATACAATGATTAGGTAACACTAGAATAGTATATAAACTCAATCGGACATAGTCACCCTTATTTTGTAGCAACCTTTGGTGATTCTTCCTCTCCACTAGGTCCAATGGGGCTAAAATGTTACATAAATTTGCTTATTGACTGGGCAGATGGATGATTTTGGCTAAAAGGGTGGTAAATTCTTTCAACAGCTCTTTGGGTAGGTATTTAGGAAAATTAGACATGAGTTTGGAGGAGGTGAACTCATCAACATTGTGAGAATCTGTTCTAAGTTCTGCATCAACCTGGATTTTTCAAACCTGGATGGGGGGGGGGGGCGGTTGCCCCTCCCGCTCCCCTTCCCCTTGATTCATGCTTGGTAATCGGGTTAAAATTCCTGAACCAGGTTGACATCAGAATTTTTAGCCTCTCCTCCTATTTATGCACGGACGAACAAAGGTCTTGATCATTTTGTAGGTGTTTATGAGTACATTTGAATATATTGTCTTTATAAACTGGAATCTGTTTGAGTCCAGAGGACATTGTGAATTGTATATCAGTTTCCTTACATTGTGAAAAGCTATAGAGATGGCAAGTAGGATCAACGAAACGCTCCTTCTATAAACCATGTTAGAGAGGAGGATGAGATAGATGAAGTGATGAAGAGAGCAACCTACTTAAAGCAAAGAAACTGGAAGCCTATGTGTGGACTCAGGTTGCCCGCAAAATTCCTAGAACTAATCTTCTGTCAACTCAAGTTACTCGCAAAATCTACAAAAGAAAACAATCTAATAAAACTCGGGTGTTGATGGACTCGATTTTTCTGTAACAATTACGCTATCTAATCAGAAGTTCGACTACTCTCCTTCCAAATGCACCAATTAGGCAAACGTTGCTGCCTTTCATATTCACTGCTTCCTTCAACCTTTTACTAACAGAGTCATCAAATTTTTAGCTCCAAGCTAGACAAGGAAAAGAGTGCATATTGGTACCTCGAGAAGGACTAAAGGCGTCTGATTCTAGCTGACTTCTAGAGTATAATACTGCATTAATCTCACCATAAGCAATCACTCTAACGTTTAAATTTTTAAGAATTATAAATCTGTCACAGGTGTAATGGCTCCATGTAGCAGTCCTTCCTCTGCATCAGAGGCTTCTGGCATCATAAAATCCTTTATAATCGGTTTTTTTTTAACTGACTTTATACGTGGTTATGGTGACGGTTTAAATTTGTGTGCAACTGACAAAATATTACTTGGAAGTCTTTCAGATCCTATGCTCCACTTTTTTAATCATCAAGTATTCTGCTGCTAAAGCACATACACTTGGTACTTATCAATACACATATATGCATGGTCCAAGCTCTAGCTACTAGACACATTTACTTTAGCTTAAGGGGAAGTGTTAGTGAATAATATTAGTATCAGTTAAGGGATAAATGGATTTTTATAATATTAGATAGATATCCTATTGTGTCAATGGAGCCTTGTTATAAGGAGCAGGGATTACCTTTGTGAACTCTCTCTCTCTCTCTCTCTCTATGTAAATAGATATATAGGTATATGTACATCAATACATACATATATGTGTCGTGCTCTTCCTTTAAACCCGAGATTTGTCAGCTAATTTCTGAATGTTAAAAATAGATCAACATACATGTCAACTTAAGTTTTTTCCCTTAGTTATTGTTCACTTGTGTTCTGTTTTATAACGATTTATTTTTCTTTCTCCTCAAATGCAAAGTAACATTTTGTATTCTCATCATACTGTGCGGGGGCCTTGCTTTTATATTTGTTTGATTGCAGGATGGCAATGAGGTCTTTTTCAGAATAAAACGCAGCGCCAGGTTACAGAAGCTCCTGATGGCTTACTGTGAGAGGAAACAATTAGACTACAGATCCATGGAGTTTCTGTTCAATGGCGAGCGCATTCCTACAAGACAATCCCCTGATGACGTAAATTTCTTCCATTTTTATGTTTTTTTTTTCCAAGAAAGTTGCTTTGCAGTTCTTCACTCAAGAGTCTTTTCAATAATTACCATAAAAGAAGCACAATCACATCGACAAATCATGGTCACGAAAACGCGCCCCTTTGCCAAATATAAGAAAAAATTGTGGCCTAAAGAATATGAAAGCAATGTGATGTCTCTAAGGATTAAATGTGTAGAATGGAAGCATATGTTCTCTCAATTAGAATGCCTGTGGTTACATTTGCCATGCATTTCCATGGATCTTAGTAAGTCACTAAACATTTTCCTGTTATGCTGTTTTCCATCTTTATCCAAATGTTTGAGGCATCCTTTATTCTAGTCAAGGAATTAAATTTCGTTTCGAAATAGTCAAAATGTCCAAAACGTTTTCGTTTTCATAAAAATCGAAATGAATCATTGAGTGAATATCAAAATTCCTATGTTTCAAGGTGTTTCGACTTATGTTTCGGAATGTTGCAGTTGTTTCGACTACTGTTTCAGAAACAAATTTTTTTTTTTTATTTTCATCTTATTTTCAAAATATTTTCGAAACATTACTGAAACGTTTCCGTTTTCAAACTAACTCAAACTATACATTGAAACAAAAATTTGATCCTTGTAGGAATTCTAGTGTTTATCAATGACTCCCCTCTACTTGCCTCTTTGGTGGATATGCTAGGGAGAGAGAAAAAAACTAAAAACTCCGTATATTTTAACAATGGATTCATTTTTTGAAGAATTGGGTTTTGATATATTTCCTATTCATAAGATAGTCAAAAGGACGAGAGTCGGCTTCATTAAGGTCGATGTTGCTCAATAGTAGAGCGATCTGACTCTTAACTAACTAGTTGTAGGTTCAAATCTTACTTGAGAAGAATTTATAGTTATCGCTTTTCTAACCTATAGCGACCATCACAGATAGCTCCTGCTATATATCTGGTGTGTTAGAGTATATATATATATATACAAACACACGTATAATCTTTATTTGTCGGTTTGATTTTGTAGCTTAAATTGGAGGATGGTGATCAAATTGATGCTATGAAGCACCACACTGGAGGTGGCTACGGACGCCTCTGAGTGCAGGCAAGAGGCTAAAGTATCAGCAGAGAAAGATATGGAAAAAAGTTTGCAGTTATTGACTATTTTTGTGGGAGACATTGTGTGATTTCCTGATGTATGTCAAAACTGTGCTTGATGGTGTTCATCTTGTTTTTGACATCTCTTTAACTTATCTTTGACTCCGTCGTAGAACTTAGTTACAAGACGGTTCAGTATACTAGACTTCTGCCAATATAAGCTTCTTAATGTATGTCAAAATTGTACTGTATTTTGATGGTGTTCCTCTGGTTTTTGATATCACTCTAACTTAATCGTTGCTCCGTCATAGAACTTAGTTAAGAGACAACTCAATATTCGAGATATTTGCCAAGATTTGACAAAAATAGTTAGTGAAAGTAGCAAAGTTGTTTGAGGATATATGCACTATTTTATACAATTTTTCTAAGTATTTTTAACTTAAAAAGAATAATATTGTTAAAAAGCAAAAATAATTTTTATAATTATAGCTAGTAATTTGAATTGTACATTTATAAAAGCACAACAATACCGAGATTAATCAAATCTTTATTTAATATTATCTAACAGTATAAAATTTATTACCAATAATTTGTTTTGTCAAAAAATATTATATTTTCTACACGGTTTTCAATTTGAGACTATTCAATTGACACACTATCCAATGCAAAAATCTCATTAATTTGTACCTACCTTTCTCTTTCTTTTTTTCTTTTTATCTACTTTAATTTTTAATTGCATAATTTAATTATTTTTTAAAATATAAATTTTACATGATTAATTCTTAATTTTTAATATTACAGAGTTATTGCTAGTAATTTATATGGGTTCTAGTGTAAAAATAGTACATTTGTGAGGATATGTGTAGTGTGTAACGATTAAACTTAGGGGAAAATTAAAGGAGAAAATCCAAAAAATCAGGGTTGATAATGGGCTGGGCCTTGCCTTTCTGGCACTCCAGGCCCACTAATCAGGCAACTGAATGTCCAACTGGTTGGGTCAGCAGCTACCATCCCAAAAACCAGACCCATGGCATGTCCGTTGGTCCAGCCCAAATGGGCTTTCACTTTTTTTTCATAATTGGGATTTTTCTTTCAAATTTAATTGATTATTTAATTTTTTTTTTGCCACCTTTGTTGGCCTTAATTAGGGGTGTCCATGGCCAGGTTACCCATGAGTTCTGTTACCCGGCCCCAAACTTAATAGACCTGATAATTGGCCCACCCTAACCAGAGCCTAATATCTTTAAAAAGGGCGTTTGAGTTTGCCCTCAAACCTACTATCTGACCAAAAGCCCGGCCCAATAGCTTGCCTAAAAAAATATGGCCCAACAACTTGTCCATTCTTTAAAAAAAAATTATACTTTTAAACCATTAAATTTGAAATTTTGAAATAAATTTTTTAATATCGAAATTTAAAGTTTCAAAAATTTAGATACTATGAATAATATATTATTTATTTTTTCATGTATTAAGCATATAAGTTTTNGAGTTTGCCCTCAAACCTACTATCTGACCAAAAGCCCGGCCCAATAGCTTGCCTAAAAAAATATGGCCCAACAACCTGTCCATCCTTTAAAAAAAAATTATACTTTTAAACCATTAAATTTGAAATTTTGAAATAAATTTTTTAATATCGAAATTTAAAGTTTCAAAAATTTAGATACTATGAATAATATATTATTTATTTTTTCATGTATTAAGCATATAAGTTTTAAATGGTAGAATAACGCAAATTATATATAATTCAATAGGTGTCAACTTAGTTGGGATGTATTCATTCTATTGGATGTAGTTCATCCCCTAATAAAAAATAAAATTATTTATTATTTTATTTTTATCTATTTTGACTCTACTTTTAATTTAAAAATATAATTTACACATATAATAAATTACAAAAATATTCCTTATTTCTAAAGGAAGTTGTATATAAAAATACTTGTAAGAAAGTCCGCCCAATAGACTCACGNATATAATTTACACATATAATAAATTACAAAAATATTCCTTATTTCTAAAGGAAGTTGTATATAAAAATACTTGTAAGAAAGTCCGCCCAATAGACTCACGGGTAAGACTCTGGGTAGCCTACCCATACCTGAAGCCCGACCCGGCTCTCCCAATAACTCACTTAAGTAAGAATTTGGACCAATACTATCCAAGTCTAGCCCGGTCTATGGACACCCCTAGCCTTAATCGACCGAGCTACCCAAAGGATGCCGCTTGAGGGCTAGGTCGGCCCATGATTTGATGAGCCACATATGCTAGCCTGTGGACCATNTTGCCAAATATAAGAAAAAATTGTGGCCTAAAGAATATGAAAGCAATGTGATGTCTCTAAGGATTAAATGTGTAGAATGGAAGCAAATGTTCTCTCAATTAGAATGCCTGTGGTTACATTTGCCATGCATTTCCATGGATCTTAGTAAGTCACTAAACATTTTCCTGTTATGCTGTTTTCCATCTTTATCCAAATGTTTGAGGCATCCTTTATTCTAGTCAAGGAATTAAATTTCGTTTCGAAATAGTCAAAATGTCCAAAACGTTTTCGTTTTCATAAAAATCGAAATGAATCATTGAGTGAATATCAAAATTCCTATGTTTCAAGGTGTTTCGACTTATGTTTCGGAATGTTGCAGTTGTTTCGACTACTGTTTCAGAAACAAATTTTTTTTTTTTATTTTCATCTTATTTTCAAAATATTTTCGAAACATTACTGAAACGTTTCCGTTTTCAAACTAACTCAAACTATACATTGAAACAAAAATTTGATCCTTGTAGGAATTCTAGTGTTTATCAATGACTCCCCTCTACTTGCCTCTTTGGTGGATATGCTAGGGAGAGAGAAAAAAACTAAAAACTCCGTATATTTTAACAATGGATTCATTTTTTGAAGAATTGGGTTTTGATATATTTCCTATTCATAAGATAGTCAAAAGGACGAGAGTCGGCTTCATTAAGGTCGATGTTGCTCAATAGTAGAGCGATCTGACTCTTAACTAANATTCATTTTTTGAAGAATTGGGTTTTGATATATTTCCTATTCATAAGATAGTCAAAAGGACGAGAGTCGGCTTCATTAAGGTCGATGTTGCTCAATAGTAGAGCGATCTGACTCTTAACTAACTAGTTGTAGGTTCAAATCTTACTTGAGAAGAATTTATAGTTATCGCTTTTCTACCCTATAGCGACCATCACNAACTAGTTGTAGGTTCAAATCTTACTTGAGAAGAATTTATAGTTATCGCTTTTCTAACCTATAGCGACCATCACAGATAGCTCCTGCTATATATCTGGTGTGTTAGAGTATATATATATATATACAAACACACGTATAATCTTTATTTGTCGGTTTGATTTTGTAGCTTAAATTGGAGGATGGTGATCAAATTGATGCTATGAAGCACCACACTGGAGGTGGCTACGGACGCCTCTGAGTGCAGGCAAGAGGCTAAAGTATCAGCAGAGAAAGATATGGAAAAAAGTTTGCAGTTATTGACTATTTTTGTGGGAGACATTGTGTGATTTCCTGATGTATGTCAAAACTGTGCTTGATGGTGTTCATCTTGTTTTTGACATCTCTTTAACTTATCTTTGACTCCGTCGTAGAACTTAGTTACAAGACGGTTCAGTATACAAGACTTCTGCCAATATAAGTTTCTTAATGTATGTCAAAATTGTACTGTATTTTGATGGTGTTCCTCTGGTTTTTGATATCACTCTAACTTAATCGTTGCTCCGTCATAGAACTTAGTTAAGAGACAACTCAATATACGAGATATTTGCCAAGATTTGACAAAAATAGTTAGTGAAAGTAGCAAAGTTGTTTCAGGATATATGCACTATTTTATACAATTTTTCTAAGTATTTTTAACTTAAAAAGAATAATATTGTTAAAAAGCAAAAATAATTTTTATAATTATAGCTAGTAATTTGAATTGTACATTTATAAAAGCACAACAATACCGAGATTAATCAAATCTTTATTTAATATTATCTAATAGTATAAAATTTATTACCAATAATTTGTTTTGTCAAAAAATATTATATTTTCTACACGGTTTTCAATTTGAGACTATTCAATTGACACACTATCCAATGCAAAAATCTCATTAATTTGTACCTACCTTTCTCTTTCTTTTTTTCTTTTTATCTACTTTAATTTTTAATTGCATAATTTAATTATTTTTTAAAATATAAATTTTACATGATTAATTCTTAATTTTTAATATTACAGAGTTATTGCTAGTAATTTATATGGGTTCTAGTGTAAAAATAGTACATTTGTGAGGATATGTGTAGTGTGTAACGATTAAACTTAGGGGAAAATTAAAGGAGAAAATCCAAAAAATCAGGGTTGATAATGGGCTGGGCCTTGCCTTTCTGGCACTCCAGGCCCACTAATCAGGCAACTGAATGTCCAACTGGTTGGGTCAGCAGCTACCATCCCAAAAACCAGACCCATGGCATGTCCGTTGGTCCAGCCCAAATGGGCTTTCACTTTTTTTTCATAATTGGGATTTTTCTTTCAAATTTAATTGATTATTTAATTTTTTTTTTGCCACCTTTGTTGGCCTTAATTAGGGGTGTCCATGGCCAGGTTACCCATGAGTTCTGTTACCCGGCCCCAAACTTAATAGACCTGATAATTGGCCCACCCTAACCAGAGCCTAATATCTTTAAAAAGGGCGTTTAAGTTTGCCCTCAAACCTACTATCTGACCAAAAGCCCGGCCCAATAGCTTGCCTAAAAAAATATGGCCCAACAACTTGTCCATTCTTTAAAAAAAAATTATACTTTTAAACCATTAAATTTGAAATTTTGAAATAAATTTTTTAATATCGAAATTTAAAGTTTCAAAAATTTAGATACTATGAATAATATATTATTTATTTTTTCATGTATTAAGCATATAAATTTTAAATGGTAGAATAACGCAAATTATATATAATTCAATAGGTGTCAACTTAGTTGGGATGTATTCATTCTATTGGATGTAGTTCATCCCCTAATAAAAAGTAAAATTATTTATTATTTTATTTTTATCTATTTTGACTCTACTTTTAATTTAAAAATATAATTTACACATATAATAAATTACAAAAATATTCCTTATTTCTAAAGGAAGTTGTATATAAAAATACTTGTAAGAAAGTCCGCCCAATAGACTCACGGGTAAGACTCTGGGTAGCCTACCCATACTTGAAGCCCGACCCGGCTCTCCCAATAACTCACTTAAGTAAGAATTTGGACCAATACTATCCAAGTCTAGCCCGGTCTATGGACACCCCTAGCCTTAATCGACCGAGCTACCCAAAGGATGCCGCTTGAGGGCTAGGTCGGCCCATGATTTGATGAGCCACATATGCTAGCCTGTGGACCACTTCCCATTTTTCAACACTAAAACAAAGGGAAAAATAAAAATACAAAATAATTTCCCTTTCTGCAAGGAAGAAGTTTGGTGAGAAGAGATATACTTTACATTCCATGGGGGCTTTAATTAGAGACACCATTATTTATGGTCCAAAAATTCATATAAAGATGGGAAATATCTTACCTTTGAGTGCGGTTTGAACTATTAATTTACGTAATTGAAAATAACCAATTAGGGGTACGATAAAACCTAAAAATAGATCACTAATCAAATTTAAATACCTCTACAGGATAAACCTCAACAAAAAACTAAAGAGTCCTTTATCAATTTTAGGGTTAGGGTGACACATTACTTTGCTTTAATAATTTATATAATAAAGTATAATACAATTTAAATTTCAAAAAATAAACAAAATGACTTTTACTATTCGCGATTGAGATCTCTTTAAATTTTATTTTAAAATTAATTTGACGGTTAATATTAAAACTTCAAATTTAAAAGAAAAAATAGGCTCCTAAGAGTATGTTTAAAGTAACTTTTTAAAAAAAAATTTAGAAATTATTTTTTATAAATATTTCAAAAAAAAAAATAACGTTTGAAACCACTCCACCACTACCTTTACCACCATCACCCCCACCACTCCACCACCATCACCACTACTACCACCATTGCTGCCACCACCATCGTCGTTGTTGCCACCGCCATCGCCACCGCCACCGCCGTCGCTGCCACACCCATTGCTCCATCACCACCACCATCACCGCTGTCATCACTATCACCGCTCCACCAACACCATAACCACCCATCATTATCACTATCACCATTGTCCCACCACCATCATTACTACTACCTCCATCGCCCCACCACCATCGTCACTGCCCCATTTGCACCCCCATCTCGCTCTCATTACCACCACCATCACCATCATCATCTACCATTGATTGCTACCATCGTCGTCCAATGCCACCATCTATCACAATCATCATTTTATTCTTATATTTATTATCATTACCACAATCATCCCACTATTACTGTGAACATCCACCACTACCGTTGTTGCCCACCATCACCCATTACCACAATCCACCACCACCATCTGTCGTCACCCACCATCGCCACCAGCCACTGTCACCCAACCCCACCACACCCCCACCACCACCACCTATCATCGCCCACCACTGCAGCCACCTACTGTCACTTACTCTCACCACACTGTCGCCTAAAAACACTCGTCGTCGCCTATCACCACCATCGTCACCGCCCACCACCACAGTCGTTGTCCCACCACCACCACTACCAACCACCATTATCGTCGTCCACCACCTCCTACACCCACCACCACTACCGTCATCATCCACGACTACCACTACGATCATCATCACCCAAAAATTCACCATCACCACCACCGTTGTCATCCACAGATGCCACCACTACTACAACCATCACCACTACCGCCCAACACCACTAACACCGTTCACCCCCATCACAATTGGTACTTAAATTTTTTAATTTCTCTTTCATGTTTGTGATTTAAGTTTAGGTATAAAAACAAATATATTTATTATTGTCAATTTTTTTTATTATTCTGTGCGTTCAGGCACGGAAAATAACTAGTATTTTAATAAGGAGTTCACAAATAAGGATATAACACTAATGTTATGCAACAAAAATCCTTACTTCAGTGAAGTCTATTTATCTTGCAACTGCAACTGTAATATCCATGGTAAAGTTGTGGAACCTATTAAGCAACAACTTCAAAATGTATCTAACAAAGTCTCCACACAAAGAATCTGCAAAACAATCATCTTTAATACAGTAATTTCTTACACCGAGGTTTACAAAAACAAAGTATGCACTACAATCCCTTTTTTTTTAAGCATGCACTACAATCCTGAGAGTTACATGTTAAATGCAGGGAGGAATGCTCTTCCAATGCAGCATAAGACATGGAATTTGGGTATAATACAGATGACCACCATAAGAACACATGCCATGCTTGACAGTTTACAAGACCACCAAAGCACACCGAAGAGACGGGCAGAAACCGAATCAGAATACAAAACACATTAATCAAACAGATATATGTTCGTTTATTGCTTCTTGTAGCATGCAAATAACCTCTTAAATGGAACCTTAAGCTGGTAACTGCAGCTTTACGTTGTTCTTCCAGCTGCAATTGTTACAATGAAGGGTGAATAATGTTATGTGAAGACCAGAACATGCATAGAGTTATCCTGGAAATGCTGGATGATTTTACCTTTGGAAGTAGTAATAAAAGAAATCGGCATAAAACAATGTCTGAACAAGCCCAGAAATCCAAGCTGCAAGAATAAAAACCAGTACATAAATAAGGTGTTAATGTTGAGAGCATGGGAATGCCAAATCTAGGAATTACACATGACAACATAATAGGTGGTCTGAAAATGGAGTTTGCATGCATGCAAGAGAGCCATTGCTAGTAAGTGTGCACACCCACACAAATATACACACAATATACAGAGAGAGAGAGAGAGAGAGAGAGAGAGAGAGAGTCGTACTTATCCAACGGACAAAGTGTGGCTCAGTGAAGTAGCGATAAATCCAGTTCAAGATGTACAATGCTCGGTAGGCACTGCAGTAAAATCAGCAGAAAAAATACATTAAAACTCTTATCACATTTTAACAGAAGGTAATATGCTTGAAAAAGGATTGTCTAAAATAAAATATAGCAGAAATTTGTATTATATGGCACCACATAATTGGAAGTCCAAATTTTACTTTAGATTGGTCAAACATCATTACCGATTTCAGGACTTAAATGTGGATCATAGGAATGCTCATGCTAAAACGTAGATACACCTTGGACCCAGCTACCTATTAATCCAGATTGCACTGCTAGAATAGTGGGGCTATTGTTAAGGGAGGGAGAGTGCTAGATCATAAAACAAAAGGCATTTAGCCACTGGTGCTTCCATTAATTTGAGCTTTGGGAGGGGTAGACAACTACAAGATTATTAAGCTAAAATGGAATTTTTTTTTACCAAGCACACAACTGTTAAGAGGTAAACTATTGGCCTGTGTGATTACAGCCTGGAGATGAAGTAACTGGTGGACTTTGCTCTCCATTTCTAGGACTAAACTACAGAAAGATGGATAGATATTGACGGGCTGAGGTTTGTTTAAGCTTCAATTCTTCCTCAGGTTGGTTTAAACTTCTGAAATCTCAGCCTGTCTTAACTTTGATGAATTACCAAGAATTTATGAAACAAAAGATCCAGGGGTGCAGCTACTCTTTCGACCATAAAACTTGCTAAGGATGTCAACATAAATTGGCAGTGATCCCTTCCCGCATCCCAAACAAACAAAATGACTGCGCCACATGCCCCCCTTGAGCATAAATTTGTTTCCTGTAGACCAATTTACACTTATCAAATTGACCAAACCATAAGGCAATTATCCTTCATTGCCATGTAAGCAACAACACGTTAAGTGAAAATTAAATAACCGAGACATAATTGATCACACTATGAACTAACATAAAAGGAGCCAATATATCTAACATTAACCGGATGTTTCACACCCAAAAACAATTATGAGCGGCAAAAGCATGACTTATCAAACTATGAAACTAAAGCACTAAATGCAAAAAGGTATCTCCTCTATTGTAAGATTAGAGGGGGGGCCCCCCCCGGGAGGGGGGGGGGTGTGGGGAATACCAAACCTTCAACAATAACATTGGCATGTCAAAATATGACAAAACATGTAACGTACCCCCACAACTAGATATGCCACACTTTGCAATTTTTATTGTTAACAACAGAAAATTTTGGGAATGGTAGATTACCCAAGGAGAAGAACATATTGCCCGGTCAAATTGTCGATATTTCTTGTCCTTTGCAACAAGACCAGCTGAGGAAGTATGACAACAGCTTCCAAGTATAAGGAAAATGTCCACATTACCTGGCCAATCATATCAAGAAGAAGTGCTTTAGAAAGGGGTAACACATCGGAAGGAACAGTCAAAACTATCATTTGGCCAGGATATAAAGAATAAATATGGCAACATTGCATTAGGTGGAGGAACATCAACTTACACCAACATATGAGCCACCCAAACACTAATAGAAACGCAAGCATATGGCAAGGGTTAAACGAAAGGCATGCATACCCCCTTGAAGGTGAACTTCTCATTTATAAGTAGGGCCAAAAGCAAACATGGCAGTACAAGAAAATAATGGTGAAAGGTGTCTTGGTCTTTGTCATAAGATCTGCGAACCACCTTGTGGTGCCTTATATACCAGACAATTGAGAAAGAGCTCCCTAAGAAAACTAACTTCATTATAGTAGAGTGAGATATAATCCGTAAATATATCCAAATAGTGAGTAGCAAAAACAGTAGCATAGAGCTCCTCGGTCTTGAAGGAAATGCCTGCAGACAACAGAAGAAGTCAAAGATCAAAACATGTCAAGAGAGTTGGAGAGAGCTTGTCACAACCATGAATTAGAAATAAGCATTTCATTATGCAAACTCACACATTAATCATAGTATATTAAAAAGGTATTCTAGTGCATGAGTCTGGCTGAGAAGGGTTACACATCCCTACTCCACAAGCAACGAAAATGTTTCCGTGATTAAAAAAATGTTAACTCATATGGTTTTCTTTTACAATTTATCCCCAACTTCAAAATTTACTTATCATAGATTTAATTAATAAAGGATAAGCTACATGGACATGTCTAGTGTTAGGGCAAAATCATAAGGTGTCCCATAACATTTCCGAAATAATACAGAGACCTCCCTATGTTGTGGGTATTGTACAAAGACACTCCTTCCAAGCCAAGATGAACAAAATCAAGTTTAAACTTCAGATTTGTCCTATTTAATTGATTTCAATCTTTTTAACTCAGTCAGAGAAGGGTAAAATAGTCATTTCACTAACAATTTCCACTAAAAACTTCAAGAATGGGTTTTTGTATCACTTTTGAAATATAAGGGGTTGCAGCGTTATTTCACCAAAACTAAAGGGGTTTCAATGTGATTTACTCTTAATTAAATTAGAAGATAGACACGGTGTAGTTGTTTTCTTTTCTAACCCAGCTTATATTACACTGCAAAACAGGGTTTACACTTGTCTTCTTACGTGGGATACTCTAATTTAGATCCATTCTCACCTCATTAACTCCATGACATCACAATTACAATTCCCACTCCATTCTATAATCACTTGATTAGTCATTAAGCACACCCTAATGTACCACCATCCTACTAAGCTGTTAATACAATCTCACCAAATTTACCATTCATATGCAATATTCACTACCCGAGAACAGTCCAACAGCTGCCCTTTCTTAGCCCAATACATTCTAAAAAATCCCAACCCTCTCTTGTACCTTATTAAGCTCCAAAAACTAATAATTTCAGAAACCTTTTAAACCTGCGAAACAATCCATGCAAAGTCCTAGCATCCCTTTTTTTTGCTGCCTAGCACTGAGTCTCATGTCAAGACCTATAGGCATGTGTTTCACACATTTGCCCTGCCCCACTTAACAACTAATCACTTTTTTCCTAAAGAACATTTTACATAACATGGGAATTTGTTAAGGAGTGATGCCATTTTTAACTCACGGCGTTCTACACCGTTGAAAGCTACATCCACATGAAGTATGAGATGACACACAGTATAATTTGGATTGAGAACGTCCTGAAAGCTCCCTGTTCAAGCTCCAGATGCCTTCAAAATGACCTAAGTACTTCTGAACATTTGGCATGGCCAGAACTGATTTTAAAATAACTAAAAATAATAACTCTCTCATTTCTAACCTCAAATGTTAAGTCGCCCAGAATAAATTTCATAAAAATGAGTTAAAACAACAGTTTACATTAATCTCTACTTGCCAACAAACCAATGTCATAGGTAGCTCCTATCAGTCTTGCATTCCAATATCTTTTAAGAATCCCAAAAAAATTATCCAAAACCCAGTTTCTAGTCCATCAAATAACCTCCTAAATTCCCTAAAATTATCAGAATTTTCACATCTTCACATAGGAAAAATGGAAAATAATACATGATTCATTAATGTATAAAAGCAAAAACATATTGCAAAACGTTATTGTAAAGGGTATGAAATGGGCGAGAGAACATACCAGAACATGATTTGATAGTGTGGATCTTGAGGAGCAAAACGAGGACACTGGCTAAATGGGTCATGTCCCCTGCTAATCTGAATATATTCATCTTTTCTTGCTTCGATCTCTCTCTATATATATCAGTGAATGCATATGTGGTTGGATCAACTGAAAAATGCTTCCAGAAGGGTATTTTCCTCACAGATCTTCGACTGATCCAACCAACAACAGACCAGCAAGCAAGAAAGCAAAATTTTCTTTTCCCTATTCTTTTTTTCTGTTCCGGACCCTGTTTTTTTTTTTTTTTTTTTTTTTGTGAAAATTGAAAAGAAAACTTAGGACTAAATTCATTTTTAAAATTAGGGTTAATCGTAAGTTATACCCCGACAAATAGTTCCAATCTTAATTTAGACTCTCAAAGATAAAAAATCTTAATTTACACCCTCAAAGATAGAAGTTTGTATTAACGTGCACCTAAAACTAGATTGATAAATTATACCTAAATTCTTTCATACTTGTCACTTAATCATTTGAATTCCTTTATATTAAAAATATTACTCATACATCTCATGACGTTTGTGTACATGCAATACATAACCCCTTTTCGTTGATATCTGTTAATATAACCGTTAAAAAATATGATTTTATTCTAACAAAAAATTATAATTTCATATTACCCTTTATTTTATAGGTTCGATATAAGTTAAAATTCAAAATCAAACTTACTATTTGAATGTCTAATGGTAAGTTTGATTTTGAACTTTATAGTATATTGGACCTATAAAATAAAGAGTAATATGAAATTATAATTTTTTATTAAGATAAAATCATATTTTTTAAAGGTTATATTAACTGATATCAATGAAAAGGGGTTACGTGTTACACCTCTACAAACGCCATGAGATATAATAGTAATATTCTAAATGTGAAGAGGTTCAAATGATTAAGTGACAAGCATAAGAGGATCTAGGTATAATTTATCAATTTAGTTTTAGGTACACATTGATACAAATTTTCATATTTGAAGGTGCAAATTGAGATTTTTAATCTTTGAGGGTGCACATTGATACAAATTTCTATTTTTGAAGGTGCAAATTAAAAATTTTGATCTTTTGGGATGTACATTTGTACGAATTTTTATCTTTGAAGGTGCAAATTGAGATTTTTGATATTTAAGGGTGTAAATTAAGATTTGATCGATCATTCAGGGTACAATTTATAATTAACCTTTAAAATTATATGTAATGACTTAAGCCCACTTTTTTTTTAATTGCAAAAATACTTTTTTTTGAAAGGAAGTTAATCTTTTCTTTCTCATATCTATTTATATCCACATATAGGTTAAGAGTTTGACTAACATTAAATAATAGTACACGAACATTAACATATTCAATAAAAATAGTAACATAATAAAAAAAATAATAACATTTAAATACAAAAAAAAGTNTATATTCAATAAAAACAGTAACATGAATAATAACATAATAAAAAAAATAATATTATTTAAATACAAAAAAAAATTACTATAAATTTGAATTTTACTGTTTTTATTGAGCATGTTATTACTATTATTTTTCAAAATATTAATATTCAATGTTACTATTTTTTGTATTTGAATGATACTATTTTTTACGATTGAATTTGAGAGAAATAATTATTGTTAAGTATGTTACAGTTTTTGTTAAGCATGTTACTATTTTTGTTAAACATGTTAATATTTTTGTTAAACACGTTACTGTTGTTATTTTTTAAAAATATTAATATTGAATGTTTCAATTTTTTTTATCTTTAAATGTTACTATTTTTTTGTATTTAAATGTATTATTTTTTGTGTCCAAATAATAAATTTTTTTTTATTTGAATGTTACTTTTTTGTTTTTAATGTTACTTTACATATATATAGATAGATAAGAGAGAGAAAATTTTTTAATGTTAGTCAAACTCTTAACTTATATATGAATATAGATAGATATGAGAGAGTAAAAATTTTAATATTAATCAAACTTTTAAGATTTAAGAGTTTTTAATTTTATTTCACTTTTAAAGGGAGGGATAATATGGTAAAATTGACAAAAAATCGACAGCATAACAAATAAGTTTCTTTGACGAATTTAAGTCTAAACAAGTCTATATAGAGGGAATGACTTCCAAATTTCTTTTTTTTTTCCCTTTTTTTTTTGGGAGAGAAGTGGAAGTAACGACAAATGATAGGCCGTTTGGACTTTGGCGAATGAAAGTGAAAAAGAAAATGCTATATAATCTAAATAAAATTTAAAAATTAAAATTAAAATATATATTATTTTTTGAATGAATATACAATGAGTGGATCCCATTAAAAATTTGATAGGATCCATTCATCTAATGGATGAAATCCATATGAGTTATAATTTTTTGATATATTCACTTGTGGAAAATAATTTTCCTTGCCCCAATAATAGGAGGAATTCACTTTATATCTCAAAAGATTTAATAATTCATATTATATATATATATATTTTTTTTTTTGAAGTCACATTTATATTTTCAAAGATTAAATATTTCAAGGACGTCAATCTTATCCGAATAGTTTAAGTTCTCTATAATAGAGCGGCAGGTTAAGGTTCAATTCCCCTTCTTGGCTCCCCTTCCCCTCCCTAGTAGTCTAAAAAATAGTTGCTATCAAAATAAATAAATAAATTTTTTATACTATACCCTCAATATATTAAAAAAATTATAATATGACATTTTCATTACTTATTCTGTTAAAAAACACTCTATTAACGTTGACGGAATGAGGAGCGATTAAATAAATTTAATATATGAAAAGTGTAACGTGAAAAATGTTTAAGAGCGTAAAGTAAGATTTCTTAAATATTTTAAGTGCAAAGTGCAATTCGCCCCGCTATTATGACACTTTGACTCATGCACGGGAAAATTATTGCCCCGTGTGAAATCTCAACTAATATATTTTATCTGTAATTTTTTTAGATGATCGATCACTACGATGTATTCAAGTGAAAGTTATTATATATAAGTGAGTCATTCACTTGTTAATAATGTATAATTTGATGATAATTATTTTTTTAAAAAAATATATNGAGTCATTCACTTGTTAATAATGAATAATTTGATGATAATTATTTTTAAAAAAAAATATGTATTAGAGGAGATTTGAATCTTAAATCTACCAAATAATCTATAATTCTAATTAGACTGGACAATCGTGCCAAGCCATATCAAGACTTAGCGAGTTTGTCTATGACTCAGTTAGCAAACAGGTACAAATCACAAAAATCGAATGCAATTCATTTATTAAATGAGTTACACGAAATGACACGGCTATAACAATAAAAAATCTTGATTAAACCCTAATTTTGCAACAAATAAAGTCATATATTAAATGATTAATCACGTGATAAACAAAATTTGATAAACAGATAATGAGTGAGAGTGATAATCGAGTTAAAGTACTCCACTCAAATATGACCCTTATTATGCGAGATGAGTGAGTTCACCAAGTTACCATCCAAACTCGTTAATTTTTTTTGTCCCGAAGCAAATCGGATTTGTCCATGTAAAACCCATCAAGATGGCCTGTTAATTTGGCCCATTGTTCCAATGAAATAAAAACAAATATATTTTCCCACTGAATTGAATTTATGAAAACTTAAAATGGCAATTAGATCCAGCTTGTAAAATCAAATAAAATCTTCAGCAGCAAAGGTCTCTCTGCTAGCCACCTTTCCAGCACCATGGAAGAAAATGTTAACCCAAGACCAAAAGGGTAAAAACTAATGAACCCACCCGAACAACTATTTTTTAATATCATACCACAAGTATTCAGAAAATAAAGGTAAAATTATGACTCAATCCAACGAAATTACGACCAAAAAATCCAAGTGTGATTAAGAGAATATAAAAAATGAGCTATAAAACTCAGACATTTGAAATTCGAATCTTAGTAACCCCTTGAAGTCAGTCCACAAGAGATTTATCTCTCATGTATACCCTAATTATGACGTAGATGACCAATTTTTGATTGAATCGGAGAGGAGATTAATTGAAATGCGCGTAAACTGACCCGATACAAAGACACTCCTTCCAAGCCAAGATGAACAAAATCAAGTTTAAACTTCAGATTTGTCCTATTTAATTGATTTCAATCTTTTTAACTCAGTCAGAGAAGGGTAAAATAGTCATTTCACTAACAATTTCCACTAAAAACTTCAAGAATGGGTTTTTGTATCACTTTTGAAATATAAGGGGTTGCAGCGTTATTTCACCAAAACTAAAGGGGTTTCAATGTGATTTACTCTTAATTAAATTAGAAGATAGACACGGTGTAGTTGTTTTCTTTTCTAACCCAGCTTATATTACACTGCAAAACAGGGTTTACACTTGTCTTCTTACGTGGGATACTCTAATTTAGATCCATTCTCACCTCATTAACTCCATGACATCACAATTACAATTCCCACTCCATTCTATAATCACTTGATTAGTCATTAAGCACACCCTAATGTACCACCATCCTACTAAGCTGTTAATACAATCTCACCAAATTTACCATTCATATGCAATATTCACTACCCGAGAACAGTCCAACAGCTGCCCTTTCTTAGCCCAATACATTCTAAAAAATCCCAACCCTCTCTTGTACCTTATTAAGCTCCAAAAACTAATAATTTCAGAAACCTTTTAAACCTGCGAAACAATCCATGCAAAGTCCTAGCATCCCTTTTTTTTGCTGCCTAGCACTGAGTCTCATGTCAAGACCTATAGGCATGTGTTTCACACATTTGCCCTGCCCCACTTAACAACTAATCACTTTTTTCCTAAAGAACATTTTACATAACATGGGAATTTGTTAAGGAGTGATGCCATTTTTAACTCACGGCGTTCTACACCGTTGAAAGCTACATCCACATGAAGTATGAGATGACACACAGTATAATTTGGATTGAGAACGTCCTGAAAGCTCCCTGTTCAAGCTCCAGATGCCTTCAAAATGACCTAAGTACTTCTGAACATTTGGCATGGCCAGAACTGATTTTAAAATAACTAAAAATAATAACTCTCTCATTTCTAACCTCAAATGTTAAGTCGCCCAGAATAAATTTCATAAAAATGAGTTAAAACAACAGTTTACATTAATCTCTACTTGCCAACAAACCAATGTCATAGGTAGCTCCTATCAGTCTTGCATTCCAATATCTTTTAAGAATCCCAAAAAAATTATCCAAAACCCAGTTTCTAGTCCATCAAATAACCTCCTAAATTCCCTAAAATTATCAGAATTTTCACATCTTCACATAGGAAAAATGGAAAATAATACATGATTCATTAATGTATAAAAGCAAAAACATATTGCAAAACGTTATTGTAAAGGGTATGAAATGGGCGAGAGAACATACCAGAACATGATTTGATAGTGTGGATCTTGAGGAGCAAAACGAGGACACTGGCTAAATGGGTCATGTCCCCTGCTAATCTGAATATATTCATCTTTTCTTGCTTCGATCTTTCTCTATATATATCAGTGAATGCATATGTGGTTGGATCAACTGAAAAATGCTTCCAGAAGGGTATTTTCCTCACAGATCTTCGACTGATCCAACCAACAACAGACCAGCAAGCAAGAAAGCAAAATTTTCTTTTCCCTATTCTTTTTTCTGTTCCGGACCCCTTTTTTTTTTTTTTTTTTTTTTTTGTGAAAATTGAAAAGGAAACTTAGGACTAAATTCATGTTTAAAATTAGGGTTAATCGTAAGTTATACCCCGACAAATAGTTCCAATCTTAATTTAGATTCCCAAAGATAAAAAATCTTAATTTACACCCTCAAAGATAGAAGTTTGTATTAACGTGCACCTAAAACTAGATTGATAAATTATACCTAAATCCTTTCATACTTGTCACTTAATCATTTGAATTCATTTATATTAAGAATATTACTCATACATCTCATGACGTTTGTGTACATGCAATACATAACCCTTTTTCGTTGATATTTGTTAATATAACCGTTAAAAAATATGATTTTATTCTAACAAAAAATTATAATTTCATATTACCCTTTATTTTGTAGGTTCGATATAAGTTAAAATTCAAAATCAAACTTACTATTTGAATGTCTAATGGTAAGTTTGATTTTAAACTTTATAGTATATTGGACCCATAAAATAAAGAGTAATATGAAATTATAATTTTTTATTAAGATAAAATCATATTTTTTAAAGGTTATATTAACTGATATCAACGAAAAGGGGTTACGTGTTACACCTCTACAAACGCCATGAGATATAATAGTAATATTCTAAATGTGAAGAGGTCCAAATGATTAAGTGACAAACATAAGAGGATCTAAGTATAATTTATCAATTAAGTTTTAGGTACACATTGATACAAATTTTCATATTTGAAGGTGCAAATTGAGATTTTTAATCTTTGAGGGTGCACATTGATACAAATTTCTATTTTTGAAGGTGCAAATTAAAAATTTTGATCTTTTGGGATGTACATTGGTACAAATTTTTATCTTTAAAGGTACAAATTGAGATTTTTGATATTTAAGGGTGCAAATTAAGATTTGAACGATCTTTCAGGGTACAATTTATAATTAACCTTTAAAATTATATGTAATGACTTAAGCCCACTTTTTTTTTAATTGCAAAAATATTTTTTTTTGAAAGGAAGTTAATCTTTTCTTTCTCATATCTATTTATATCCACATATAGGTTAAAAGTTTGACTAACATTAAATAATAGTACACGAACATTAATATATTCAATAAAAACAGTAACATGAATAATAACATAATAAAAAAAATAATATTATTTAAATACAAAAAAAAATTACTATAAATTTGAATTTTACTGTTTTTATTGAGCATGTTATTACTATTATTTTTCAAAATATTAATATTCAATGTTACTATTTTTTGTATTTGAATGATACTATTTTTTACGATTGAATTTGAGAGAAATAATTATTGTTAAGTATGTTACAATTTTTGTTAAGCATGTTACTATTTTTGTTAAACATGTTAATATTTTTGTTAAACACGTTACTGTTGTTATTTTTTAAAAATATTAATATTGAATGTTTCAATTTTTTTTATCTTTAAATGTTACTATTTTTTTGTATTTAAATGTATTATTTTTTGTGTCCAAATAATAATTTTTTTTTTATTTGAATGTTACTTTTTTGTTTTTAATGTTACTTTACATATATATAGATAGATAAGAGAGAAAAAAAATTTTAATGTTAGTCAAACTCTTAACTTATATATGAATATAGATAGATATGAGAGAGTAAAAATTTTAATGTTAATCAAACTTTTAAGATTTAAGAGTTTTTAATTTTTAATTTTATTTCACTTTTAAAGGGAGGGATAATATGGTAAAATTGACAAAAAATCGACAGCATAACAAATAAGTTTCTTTGACGAATTTAAGTCTAAACAAGTCCATATAAAGGGACTGACTTCCAAATTTCTTTTTTTTTTCCCTTTTTTTTTTGGGAGAGAAGTGGAAGTAACGACAAATGATAGGCCGTTTGGACTTTGGCGAATGAAAGTGAAAAAGAAAATGCTATATAATCTAAATAAAATTTAAAAATTAAAATTAAAATATATATTATTTTTTGAATGAATATACAATGAGTGGAGCCCATTGAAAATTTGATAGGATCCATTCATCTAATGGATGATATCCATATGAGTTATAATTTTTTGATATATTCACTTGTGGAAAATAATTTTCCTTGCCCAATAATAGGAGGAATTCACTTTATATCTCAAAAGATTTAATAATTCATATTATATATATATATATATGTATTTTGAAGTCACATTTATATTTTCAAAGATTAAATATTTCAAGGACGTCAATCTTACCCGAATAGTTTAAGTTCTCTATAATAGAGCGGCAGGTTAAGGTTCAATTCCCCTTCTTGGCTCCCCTTCCCCTCCCTAGTAGTCTAAAAAATAGTTGCTATCAAAATAAATAAATAAATTTTTTATACTATACCCTCAATATATTAAAAAAATTATAATATGACATTTTCATTACTTATTCTGTTAAAAAACACCCTATTAACGTTGACGGAATGAGGAGCGATTAAATAAATTTAATATATGAAAAGTGTAATGTGAAAAATGTTTAAGAGCGTAAAGTAAGATTTCTTAAATATTTTAAGTGCAAAGTGCAATTCGCCCCGCTATTATAACACTTTGACTCGTGCACGGGAAAATTATTGCCCCGTGTGAAATCTCAACTAATATATTTTATCTGTAATTTTTTTAGATGATCGATCACTACGATGTATTCAAGTGAAATTTATTATATATAAGTGAGTCATTCACTTGTTAATAATGAATAATTTGATGATAATTATTTTTAAAAAAAAATATGTATTAGAGGAGATTTGAATCTTAAATCTACCAAATAATCTATAATTCTAATTAGACTGGACAATCGTGCCAAGCCATATCAAGACTTAGCGAGTTTGTCTATGACTCAGTTAGCAAACAGGTACAAATCACAAAAATTGAATGCAATTCATTTATTAAATGAGTTACACGAAATGACAAGGCTATAACAATAAAAAATCTTGATTAAACCCTAATTTTGCAACAAATAAAGTCATATATTAAATGATTAATCACGTGATAAACAAAATTTGATAAACAGATAATGAGTGAGAGTGATAATCGAGTTAAAGTACTCCACTCAAATATGACCCTTATTATGCGAGATGAGTGAGTTCACCAAGTTACCATCCAAACTCGTTAATTTTTTTTGTCCCGAAGCAAATCGGATTTGTCCATGTAAAACCCATCAAGATGGCCTGTTAATTTGGCCCATTGTTCCAATGAAATAAAAACAAATATATTTTCCCACTGAATTGAATTTATGAAAACTTAAAATGGCAATTAGATCCAGCTTGCAAAATCAAATAAAATCTTCAGCAGCAAAGGTCTCTCTGCTAGCCACCTTTCCAGCACCATGGAAGAAAATGTTAACCCAAGACCAAAAGGGTAAAAACTAATGAACCCACCCGAACAACTATTTTTTAATATCATACCAGAAGTATTCAGAAAATAAAGGTAAAATTATGACTCAATCCAACGAAATTACGACCAAAAAATCCAAGTGTGATTAAGGGAATATAAAAAATGAGCTATAAAACTCAGACATTTTAAATTCGAATCTTAGTAACCCCTTGAAGTCAGTCCACGAGAGATTTATCTCTCATGTATACCCTAATTATGACGTAGATGACTAATTTTTGATTGAATCGGAGAGGAGATTAATTGAAATGCGCGTAAACTGACCCGAACAAAAAAGAAATATCATTAAGGTATAGAATTCAGCGCTATCCTTGTTCCCAAGAGTAGATGATATTTGAAAACCCCGGTTGGGAGCAGCAAAATATGGCTCCAATTCCTGACAAAACTGTACTAAACTAGTCTCCTCATTTAGACAAATGTACTTCCTCTTCAAAGAACTCACATCGGTTGAACAATAACAAGCAACAAAGCAAGGGAAATTAAGGTAGTAGTGATGGAGAACTCCAGAGAATCCTTCGAATTCTGCGTGTTGGGCAACCCGGGTCCCATGCCCCCCGGTGTTAGTCCTCCACTGCCATAGAGTGGTATGGTAGTCCCTGGCGGTGATGGTATGTTGAAAGTCGGTGCAGCTGTTCCTCCAGGTGTAACTGCCCCTCCTCCTGCAGTGCTGAAATTGAGAATCCAATCCACAGGCATTAGGCATAAGAAAAGCAACAGTTCTTTAACAAATCAGAACAATCGTTAAATGGTTACATGAATTTTAGCCTAACATGGCACGTAAAAAGGGTCATATTGTGATGAAATAGTGCGTGTCTCTGGGCACGCGCACAGTACAAGTGTTGGTGTGGGATGCAGGAACCTCTCTATCTGTTGACTGCTACAAACCGCGGCAAACTCATACCTCCTTGGCTCTGTTTTGGAACTCAAAAAAAAAAAAAAACTAGGAAAAGAAGATACTCCTAATGCCTATTTGCTACTAATACTATATGGCAAATAATTTCAAGCATTCTCAAACATTATCTTTATCTTTTCTATTGCAGATTCTGAGATCCAAACAGAAGTAGAACTCGGTGCCTAGAACGATATCCATTCTAGTTCCCCCATCCGGTGGGGCATAACTTTTGTCCAACACTTTTGTATACAGTTTGTACTAGCCACCAGTAAATGAAGGAGCAAGTTATGGTTTAGGACTACATGTTCAATCCTACCTCTAAGAAAGCCTATTTCAGTAAAACCGCCCAGAAAATGAATAAATAAATAAAACACAGATCACCTCTACTAAAAGGCCGGACCTAATGTTCAAGGTTAACACCTATAATAGAGTATAGGGGAGGTATTCCGTATATGTAGGCAACCTTACCCTATTTGAAGAGGGTGATTGGAGAGGTTCATTTTGAAACTCGGTGAAGGGACGTATAGTTTGGGCTTATAAGCCCTCTCTGGCAGATATACATGAAACTGGAATACCAATGAAACATTTTAGGCTATAGTAACACTTTTTTCTAAACTACTTTTCCCTAAATGAGGTGAATTGATTAGTGTTCTCTCTAGCTTGAGCAATGCCAAATTAGAAGTTGAAAGGCAAATTGGGAGCAACTTTCGGCAATTCTGATTTCAATCCAAATCAAACAAGATTCTCACAGAGGTGGGAAGGTGATGGGCTTGGGTGTCATTTCAACGACGAGATGTCATCTCATCATACTTGTTACAAGCTTACAAGGAAACTTGGTCTTAAGAGTCTAACCGTAATTAGAGCAAAAAACTAAGGAGTTTTATGTTTTTTTGTTTTTTGCAATCAGGGTATTCAGATCAACTTTTACACACCTCAACTAATCTCTTCCATGGTCCAGTCAAAGATAGGTCATTCACGCCATGACTAGGTAATTCATGAGAGATAAATCTTTTATAACTTAGCTCCAAGAGAGTTTACAAGAGTAATTGTTCGGCGAGTGCGTTTACTTTTTCAAAGCGATTTTGTCATAAATTGCACTCACTTTACCAAATTCGCAANTGTAGGCAACCTTACCCTATTTGAAGAGGGTGATTGGAGAGGTTCATTTTGAAACTCGGTGAAGGGACGTATAGTTTGGGCTTATAAGCCCTCTCTGGCAGATATACATGAAACTGGAATACCAATGAAACATTTTAGGCTATAGTAACACTTTTTTCTAAACTACTTTTCCCTAAATGAGGTGAATTGATTAGTGTTCTCTCTAGCTTGAGCAATGCCAAATTAGAAGTTGAAAGGCAAATTGGGAGCAACTTTCGGCAATTCTGATTTCAATCCAAATCAAACAAGATTCTCACAGAGGTGGGAAGGTGATGGGCTTGGGTGTCATTTCAACGACGAGATGTCATCTCATCATACTTGTTACAAGCTTACAAGGAAACTTGGTCTTAAGAGTCTAACCGTAATTAGAGCAAAAAACTAAGGAGTTTTATGTTTTTTGCAATCAGGGTATTCAGATCAACTTTCGCACACCACACCTCAACTAATCTTCTCCATGGTCCAGTCAAAGATAGGTCATTCACGCCATGACTAGGTAATTCATGAGAGATAAATCTCTTATAACCTGGCTCCAAGGGAGTTTACAAGAGTAACTGTTCGGCGAGTGAGTTTACTTTTTCAAAGCGATTTTGTCATAAATTGCACTCACTTTACCAAATTCGCAAATTCAACAAAATAAATTCACAAATTTATTGTTAAAGCTTCACATAGAGTAGTTGAGAAGAGCATGCCACTGATGATATCTTATAGACATGTTTAGCTGCCAGTTTCTCATGGCTATTCAATGTGGGATGACTGTCCAGGGCATAGAAATGTCTTCCAAAGGCTTTTTGTTTAATCATTCACTATATTATTTCCATGCCAAATCAATAGTTAACAAAATTTGAATAATTTATCATATATTTGTGTATTTTTTAATTGAATTTTGTTAACTTTTATATATGTGTATATATATATATATATATATATATAGTATGACACTATTTTTTTTTGAATTTTTCCGCTTTTGCGCTTCTGTTCTCTCTCTCTCTCTATGTGACTTAGGTTTATATCCTTGATTTGTTATTAATCGAGTTGGATTGGATGGGGTTATTCAATCCAATCCAATCCAATCTCACACTCAAAAGTGATCCAAACAAGCTTTAAATGGATAGGCTTTTATGGATTAGAGAAAATCCTAAAAGTTAACATTACAATAATGACCTCTCAACATGTGGACCGGTTGGGATCAAATTGGATTGGATTCGATAACCCAAACCAATCCGTAACCATGGGATTCTAACTAAAGGAGTTAGGCCATTCCTATTTAATATCATGAAGATGAAGTGGGTGGCCCCACAGAGCATGAAGAAGACATTGTTAGACCTCATTCATTGGCAAAAATGCTTTTGGGTTATGCTGAAGTGGAACTTTTACATGGAAGATAGAAAGGAACCCTAACTTAGGAAAAAACTGGTCATTTGAGGCAATAATTTTACGGTGGCTTTTTCGCACCCATTTTATCCCTCCTTCCAACGTTCCACTTAGCCTATGCATGGGTTATTGGCTGTTCATTGCCGGCTCCGGATAAAAATCCCACAAATCCTGAGCCCAAAAACTCCAACTAAACAAGGATTTTGTGGGCCCATCAACTAATTTATCCCATTCCACTCACTTAAGAAACTACCACATGTCTAAGGTTGGAATTTTGTGTACACATCATTCTAATCTCATCCAATACAAATCAGAAAGCCAACAAAGAGAGAAATTCAAATGTAAACTTTATATGATAACCATACCAAAAATAATTGGAAAAAGTTACAATCCGTTGGGTTTGGGATTAAGTTACGATTTAATGAGGTTGAAAAACTCGAGATCAATCTTAAAAGATTTAATATTGACCCTAAAAAGTTGGGATTGATTCAAAGTTTTTGGATCACCCCGAACTCAACCCCATGGAGTCGTAACTCGACTTGTTTNTTGGAGCGGTTGGGATCAAATTGGATTGGATTCGATAACCCAAACCAATCCGTAACCATGGGATTCTAGCTAAAGGAGTTAGGCCATTCCTATTTAATATCATGAAGATGATGTGGGTGGCCCCATATAACATGAAGAAGACATTGTTAGACCTCATTCATTGGCAAAAATGCTTTTGGGTTATGCTGAAGTGGAACTTTTACATGCAAGATAGAAAGGAACCCTAACTTAGGAAAAAACTGGTCATTTGAGGCAATAATTTTACGGTGGCTTTTTCGCACCCATTTTATCCCTCCTTCCAACGTTCCACTTAGCCTATGCATGGGTTATTGGCTGTTCATTGCCGGCTCCGGATAAAAATCCCACAAATCCTGAGCCCAAAAACTCCAACTAAACAAGGATTTTGTGGGCCCATCAACTAATTTATCCCATTCCACTCACTTAAGAAACTACCACATGTCTAAGGTTGGAATTTTGTGTACACATCATTCTAATCTCATCCAATACAAATCAGAAAGCCAACAAAGAGAGAAATTCAAATGTAAACTTTATATGATAACCATACCAAAAATAATTGGAAAAAGTTACAATCCGTTGGGTTTGGGATTAAGTTACGATTTAATGAGGTTGAAAAACTCGAGATCAATCTTAAAAGATTTAATATTGACCCTAAAAAGTTGGGATTGATTCAAAGTTTTTGGATCACCCCGAACTCAACCCCATGGAGTCGTAACTCGACTTGTTTGAATCACGACTTGATCTAATTGGATTGTAACTTTTGGTACGGTATGAAAAGTTACTTTTCAGTATCATGAAAAATCCCAACAATTAAAATGGGCCTCTTTGTTCACTAACATCAAACGAACAACATACTGAAATTTGAAACAAAAAAATATGATTATAGAAACAGAGGGCTCACCATACTCCTTTGTTTCCAAATGTTTTTCAACGTCCCAAGTGAAACTAGGCAGGACTATGAAGTGGATGAAGATTCTACTTCAGAACTTTATCATGATATTATGATAATAAACTTTGATTTCCCACTTTATATACTATCAACACAAGAACTAGGATTCTGGGTTACCAATCTCCTAATCTCAAATACCAGCCTCCTAGTTTGAAACTAAATGCAAATCAATCCAGAAACCTCAATGGGCCAAGATCAAACTGGTCGTCTTGCTAACCAGGCCGTGCAGGATAAACAAAAATCATACATTCAGCTAAGTTAGTAACTCGGAATCCATCGGCCAATTAACATTGCTGCAAACGAAGAATCTTTNTGTGCAGGATAAACATAAATCATACATTCAGCCAAGTTAGTAACTCGGAATCCATCGGCCAATTAACATTGCTGCAAACGAAGAATCTTTCATTCCGTGCTTAAACTTGGTAAAATGAAAGATAAAATCTTAAATCACGGATTTGTGAGAAATCCAAGCTGTTTTCATGCAATCACTACAAGATCAGGAAGAAGAAAACTTACATTTAGAGGACAATCAACACATGATTCCTTTACCCCCTATATGATCAAAACGGATCTCGTTGTAATGCATGAAGTAAAGTCAATTGTTTTAGAGTGAATCATATTGGGATAATTTTTCCCCCTCTTTTGAGATGGTTGACCAGTAACTTTGTCTCTCCAAACACAATTAAGTTTGTATAATCTAGTATCTCAATAATAACAAGGGGGTGCAATATTATTATTGAGAATTGTCTCAAAAAATATCTCGTCTAGACTGTTGGATATAACAAAAATGCAGAATGTACAAAATAAATAGCAAACCGCACACATTGAGTTGAGTCAAGGTAACACTCTCTAAGACCATCACGGATCCTCATCAAATTTAAATTTGAGTAAAAATAGCCCAAAAACTACTTCCAATCCTTGATTCAAATCTATACCAAATCAAAGGAGAACTCAATCTTAACCCAAATTAAGGGAGACTCAATTCCTCTACTCATATACCAATGATAACAATTCCACCCAAACCCTACACACCACCATATAGAGTATACACAACACATACGAATTGGGCATCTTTACCTCCTTTCCTTCACAACTTCTGCCATCAATGACCACCGCAACATCTATGGCTTGTTTGAAGACATTTAGGTAAGCCTTAGCCTTTACATCCATAACTTCTCTCTTTCTTGTACTTGTCAAAACCTTAAGCATTAAAATCCTCGTGTTTTGATTGAATAGAAAATTTTCTTCCAGTTTGTTTGGGAGGTCTTGCTTTAAGAAATTTCAATTGTTGAGGAACCAAAGCGTTCTAGAGTAGACAATATTTTGATCATTGAGATTTACAGTATGTGTATTCTGCTAGTTATGGCTACTGAAAGGGAAGAGGGAAAAGTATTTTAGAGAAAGAAAAGTAACAAGAATGAGTTCTTGCAATAAGATTGGAAATTTTTGAAAAGAATTCAGTATAAATTTGAGTTTTTCCATTGAAGTGATTTGTACCAAATCAAACTTTTACTCAAATTTAAGTAAGGGTACAAGTAACCATTGGAAATGGAGATGGTCTAAGATCTTCCCATCAANTTTCAGTATAAATTTGAGTTTTTCCATTGAAGTGATTTGTACCAAATCAAACTTTTACTCAAATATAAGTAAGGGTACAAGTAACCATTGGAAATGGAGATGGTCTAAGATCTTCCCATCAAAACTATCCTCACATCCAAACCACATTTATTGGTTTGCAAAATGTAACTCTTTTACCAAAGCAATGCACCACTATTCAATTCTATAAATAGTTATGCATTGAAGTAACAGTAGCCAAGACTGGATTAGCAAAAAATATCAGGGATCACCAATTTTTTTGGGAACAGAACATAGTCCTCAATAGCTAGAACTCAACTCCGAAAAATGGATTTTCCCAGGCTTTTATACTAGAGGGCTTACTAGGAAAAGTGTGTGCATGGGCACGAGGGGGTTTGGAGCCCAGTATAGTTTTCATACCAAATTTCTTAAATCAAATGATGTACCATACACATCACCACTAGCTAAAAGTGAGTTTCATTCCCAATTAATGGTTCTGCATGTACCAAATCATTTGGTATTAAAAATATGGTAGGAAATTTTCAATACCTATATTTTCCAAAGCTACACTTTGGTCCACTCATTTCATTTATTCTTTAAGCGCATATACTTCTTCGACCACTTCCCAACATAAGAAGCTCATTGTTAACTCTCCAATAAGCCGGGTGGCAGCCATTAGGTCGCCAATTGAAGTTATCGACCCATCAAACAACTAAGGGAGAAATATAAATGTACCCTACTGTTTGATATATAATATTTTGGTAAGACTAACACTAAGAATAAGCAATCAATTTGTAATTGCTATGGCCCCATATATCCAAGTGCATAATACTTATAAAACGACAATGCTATGCTGACCAAGATTTCTTACTAAGTTTTTCATCCCTTGTGATATGACACAATTTTCACCATCAAATAAGTAAATCTCATTAATATTCAATGATGGGATTGTACCACATCAATTGAAATAAAAAACTAGATAAACATAACATTATTGCTCAGAAAAGATCAGGATGGTCAGATAGAGTACTTTTAAGCAGTGTCTTAAAACTTGGCCCTACGGGTTAACCCGATGAACCGAAGCCTAAATTGGGCTGATTCTGAATCCTTTATTGGATCAGTTGTGCACCAAAACCGAAATAAGCCTGCTAAACAATTTTACCCGGACAGTTTATAGCAAACTCGCTAGATCAATTAGAATAGTATAAAAAGCTGAGTTTGGGCCCTTTTGGGCATTTTGCCTTTGCCCTAAATCATTTCACCACTTCTCACCCACCCACTAATCTGCGGCTCTATCTCGTCGATGGGCAATGACCTTCTCAGCCCCCCCCCCCTCTCTCTCTCTGCACTGGGAGCCTACGATTCAATCAATGTGAAACTCAAAAAATTTTAAAAATTTCAAAGAAGAAGGCAATGGTCTCTAAGAGCTCCATAATGATTTCTTCACCCAATGCTCTGCGTAGAAGAAGGCTAGACAGAGACGCGACATTGATAATTGATATTGTCAAATGCTATATTTTATACATTGAAATATTGTAGGACTCAATTTCAAAAATTATGCAATTAATTAAGAACATAATGTTTGATAAAAAATTATGCAATTAAGATTATGTAAGGCTTAAATAAATGTATTTTTCTCCACATAATTTTATAAGTTGTATTGGAAATTCCGAAATTGAATGTATTGGGATACTGACGATTTTGGAGTTTTTGTTTGATGTAATATACATTAAACATGCTATTTTAATAATTATTATGATTTTTTAGTCTATTTATAATTATTTTTTATTATATTACCAATTCGACCAATAATCCACTGATTTAACCGGTGATCTGTTGACCCGGGTTTTAAATCTATGCTTTCAAGTTTCAAGCCAATTCACCACTCTGAGATCTCATTGGTGTGTGGGTCCAACTTTCACCTTGCCTTTCCCAATCGTTGGCTGATGATCATTAACAAAGCGATCCAACGGTGAGAAACGAAAAAGGACAACCTAGGAGGAAGTGAAGTAGGCGAATCAAAACCAAGTAACGTTCTGACACCAAGAGGACCAAATCAAATCCCGACCATGCATAATGACACGTGGAAACATCCACAAATCCTACCGTACGAGACAGCACACGTTTTCACACGCCAACGCTGCACGAGGCCTGCTGTCTGTCCCTCTCTCTCTCTCTCTCTCTCTTACTTACACACACACACTCACTCACACTGTGTATACCTCTCAATATCATAATTTACAGGTCAGAAAAAAGAAAAAAGAAGCTTTTTTGCCAAAAAAAAATCATTTCTAGTGACTGAATAAGCATAAAAAATGTAATTTTTAAACCAATAAGCCTAAAAAATGTAATTTTTAAAACCTTTTATTTCCATGAAAATGATAATGAATAAACAAGTTTTGTTGCGCCCCTTTAAAAAAAAATAATAATTAATTTTTTAAAAACTGTTTATTATTAGTTCTATACACCATAATTCTTTTGTTAAATATATGAACAGCCCAAAGCAAACAAAGAGAATGAAATGTAAAGGAAAAGATTGAGACAAGCAGAAAGAAAAGAAAAGAAGGATGAGAATTTCATACTTTTAGAGAGAGACGGGAGGAAAAGAAAATGAAATAAAAGGAAAGAACATACCTTGGAGAGGATGGATAAGCACAAGATCCATAACCTAAAAAACCCAAATTAAAATGTAAATACAAAGCATATATATAAGTACATAAATCCACACACACACATATATATATATATATATATATATATATATATATATGTGTGTGTGTGTGTGTGTGTAGACTGTAGAGATAGGGAAAGTGTAGACTGTAGAGATAGGGAAAGTGACAAACTTGGGTCAGTTTTGGCAATGTAGGCGGTGCCAGCAAAGTCACAAGAGCCAGGGGCCATACCCTTACGCTGGAAATAACTGTTGAAAGCATAGGAAGCGTGGGCTTGAACTGTATTAGGAAGATAACACAACCCAGATGGTTGTATAGGTGCACAGTCCGCACCAGCCCCACATGCATAGTCCAAAGAGGTCTGCAACGCCTGGTCGCCGGCATCGCTTCTGGCCACGCACCACGTCGCCGCCACGACAGTGGTGGTGAGGAACAGACCCACCAATAGGATTTGTATCGCCACCACCTTGTGCGGTGGTGCCATGGTTGGGACTTGGGAGTGTTATAAAAGGTGGTGAACTGTTGAGGAGCAACGTGTATTGGTTGTAGGTAAAGGAGGGGAGAGAAGAAAGAGAGGGGAGGATGGCTGTCTAGAGAGAGAATCGAGATGTTCTTCTTATTTTATTTCTTTGTTCTTTTTGTTCTTTGTTCTTTTTTTTTTTTGAATTACTTTTTCTTTTTGTGTTTGGATGGATGAAAGTTGTTGTTTAGGGTAATTCTATAGTATTGAATTTTTTTTTTTGGTGTTATATTAAAAATTATTATTTTTAAAAGTCAAATTGTACATCTTTAAAGTATAAGTTATACATTTTTAAAGATAATAATTTTTATGATCAATCATAATATTTTAGGATTAATCATACTTTTTACTATTATAATTTATATCTCAAAAATTTATAATATAATTTATAAAATTATATTTTTCGATACGATACCGTTAACTTTCTCACCCATTTATATTTGAATTGAGAAACTCCAAAAAGCCTAAAGGAGAAGGTCTATATTTAAAATTCAACATTGTTTAGAGAATCTTTGCATAATAAGTAATATTAATATTGTTAAACTATCATCTATTTCAAAAAATTTTATTTTTTTTTTGCGTGCAAACTATATTTTTGACATAACATGTGAATTTTTTTTAATAATTTGGGTGGTGACAAGATTTGGACATAAGACTTCTTATTTTGATATCATATTAAACAACTAGTTATTTCTTGTGTCTGAATGTACAGAGTAATACAAAAATGATAAACAATAAGCATATTTATATTCATATTCAAAATTAAATCACAAACATAAATGAGAGATAAATGAATTTAAGCATCGATTTATAGTAGAGGCGAGAAATGGTGGGTGGTAGTGGTAATGGTAGGAGACAGTGATAGTTGTGGTGGGTAGCAATAACCATGGTGACGGCGGTTTCAAACACTATTTTTAAAAAAAAATTATTTATGAGAAATAATTTCTAGAAGTACTTTTAAAAATTAACTCTAAACACACCATTATGGCCCTATTTTTCCTATTAAATTTAGGGTGTTGATATTAACCTTAAAGAAAAATTTAAAACGATCTCAACCGCGAATAATAAAAGTCATTTTGTTTATTTTTGAGATTTGAATTGTAAGTTACTTTATTATATAGATTATTTATTCAAAAATCTTAAGTCCATAAAGAAGATATAACTTAAATATTTATACTATACAAAACATAGAATCAAACTAAAAGGCGACACACTAAATGTTATTAATGCAATTTTTAATGGTCTGGATAATTTATCAAAAGTAAAAATCTTTGTTGATTACATACACAAGAGATCATAGTTGTTTTCATATTTATTTATTT